GTTACTATTAATTAACCTGGAGACTTTATTTGGATTTTACCAGTTTTTCCACTGATACCCTTTTTCTGTCCCGGGATCCAGGCCAGGGCGCCACACAGCATTTAGTTATCTCCTTAGGCCTTCAGATCTGTGATGGTTCTTCAGGCCTCTCATTGTTTTCATGATCTCTTGATAGTTTTGAGGAATACTGGTCAGGTATTTTGTAGAAATGTCCTTCAGTTTGGGTTTATCTGATGTTTTTGTGCGCTAAGACTGAGGTTATGGGTTATGAGGTTTTGGGGAAGAATACCACAAAGGTGAAATGTCCTTCTTATCACATCACGTTGAGGGGGTACACGATGGCAACATGGCTTGTCCCTGATCTTTTATCCATAATCGTTTGGGGTGAGGGTGGTGCTTTCCAGGCTTCTCTGCTGGGATATTACTGTTCCCCACACCACACTCTGCTGTGGAAGTGAGTGACTGAGTCCAGCCCCTGCTCACGGGGAAGGGACCTGAGTTCGACCTCCCAGGTTAGAGAAGGATACATGTGTTACTACTATTTGGAATTCCCTGTAAGGAAGATTTGTCCCTTCTTCCCCCATTTACTTGTTAATCACTTATTCATATCATGGACTCATGGATACTTATTTTGGTAATCGGTTATAACACAATAACATTGCGACTTTGCTACTCAAATTGTTCCAGCTTTGGCTGAGCTAGAACATAGCCCGGCCTCAGAATCCATACAGACCTAACACTTGAGTGATGGCCTGAGGCGACCCCTAGCGCAGTGCCGAAGGGCTGGGCCACTGGACCCCTCACTCTCTGTCTTCCTTTTCACGGGCCACGTTGTCTTTATTTCCCCTTCGGCATAAGATCTGCTTCTCAGGTAATTAATTTTTTAAAAAATTTTTTTATTGTTATGTTAATCCCCATACATTACATCATTAGATTTAGATGTAGTGTTCCATGAAGGTAATTAATTTTTATCTTTTACCAAGGGTAACATTTATATGTCTCTAAATTCTCTTTATATTTTTTCTTCCTTACCTACAAATCTTAATTACTTTTAATTATTTTTTGGTTTTTTTAAAGCAGTGGATTTTAACTTAAAAAATAAATGAGGGGCGCCTGGGTGGCTCAGTTGTTTAAGGGACCAGCTCTTGATTTTGGCTCAGGTCATGATCTCAGGGTCCTGGGATTGAGCCCTGTCCCCATCGGGCTCCATGCTCAGGGTTCAGTGGGTAGTCTGCTTGAGGATTCTTTTTCTCTCTCCCTCTCTCTCTAAAATAAATAAATTTTTAAAGAATTGGGGTGCCTGGCTGGCTGAGTCGGTAGAGCATGAGATTTGATCTAGGGGTCATGAGTTTGAGCCCCATGTTGGGCACAGAGCTCAACTTAAAAAAAATTTAAAAATGCAATTATTAAATGAGACGAACAGCTACCGTCAAAGCATTTGAAACAAACACTGTTGAACACTGGCAGTTTTTCAGAGTCGGCAATTTGATGGCAGTCTCACTGGGAAGTAAAAAGACGTCTTAGTTAGGGAAGGACATCAAGAATATTGCAGTCGTATTACTTAAATTTTGGTAGGTTTGGATTTGACCTTACTGAGTCTGATAGTAAAGAGTCAGAGGTAACGCTATTAATTTAGTTAGGGAGGCTGAGTAGTACATCTAGTTTATTATTTAGTTTTCTTAAGTAGAAACAGAACCCAGCAAGACTAAAAAAATGGCCAGTGCCTTGATTCAGCAAATCATTTAGGAATGAAGAACCTTTAAAGAAAGGCATCAGAGGAACTGAAAATGCCTAGGGAACTTTTTTTTTTTTTTAATTTTTTGTCATTGGTCACTCAGTAGGGAGGGGCAAGGATGCCACCTCAGGTAAAGGCCCTTCACCGGTTGGACCTGCGAGAGAAGAAAGCTGATTCTTGGGCTTTGTGTCCTGGTCCCTTAAGGGGTGGAGACTTGTGTCCTGGCACAAGACTGGGGCTGTCGAAACCCAAGAGGGCGGGGCTCCTTACCAGGTGTGCAGGAAGCAGAGCCACCCTATTGTAACTGGTCCCTCTGAGGAGGTGGTCGCCAGAGCACATCTCTCTTACTTCAGGCATTGTTGTACATGTGATCCCAATACCAAGAATGTATCTCAGACCCCTCTGTATTTCACGTGGCAAGAACACCTAATCCAGACTGGTTTAAGAAAAAAAAAAAAAAAGGATTTTCTTGGCTCGTAACTGAAGTTCTGGAGTTGGGTTTGGCAAAGCATGCCTGGTTCAGGGCTCGGGAGGTGATTAGAGTCCATTTCTTGGCTTTGGGTGTTTTTTCTTTTGCTGTTATTGCCTGGTTTTTGCAGGCTCTTCTCATGTTTGTGAGTTGGATTCCAGCAATTGTTTGGGCAACGTATATCCAGGTTTGAATCTAAGTGGAAAAGAGTGAGCATTCTTGTCCTCACTTTGCAGGGAGCCTCCTGAGAGTTTCCCTGTGACCAGACCAGTCTGGTCATGCATCCAGTGTGTACTGGTGACTGTCGGCAGGGAGCGGTGGCCCTGGTGCCATGTAGGTGGTAGTCCCCAGAGGAGGGTTGGTGGGAAGTTTCCAGAGAAGGTGAGCTGATGCGGGGTGGCACAGACGACACCATGTCTGCTCTGGGGGGGCAAAGCTGGCTTACAAGGGCATGGTGTGCAGGCTGTTAGAGCTTGGTTTGATTCATAAAATAGACTGTAGACTATGTAATTTTCCTTAATTTTATGTAAACTATATTTATGTTTTTCTGTAAGGTTTTACTGCATTGTATGAAGGTTTTGATGGTTTCCTGCTATAATCTGGTTTGTCTTTTGAATTAAAACCTGTTGTTTTAGTTTTACTGTATATGGGTAGAGTCTTGTTTTAACGACTAGAGCTATACTCTGTTTTGAATAAGAGAAGTCCTTTTCATATCCTGGACAAAAATCCTACTAGTGCCATTTTACTTATGAAACTAAACAAGTCTTTTGAATGAGAAATCTAAAAATTGGACGTATTTACAAATCCTCATCCATTTTTAAAATTTATTTATTTATTTTTAAGTATTTTATTTATTTATTTGATAGAGCAGGACAGAGAGGGAGAGAGAATCTGAAGCTGGCTCCACACTCAGAGCCAGACGCGGGGCTCGATCCCATGACGATGAGATCATGACCTGCGCCGAAACCAAGAGTCTGACGTTTAACTGATTGAGCCACCCAGCGCCCCAATCCTCATCCATTTAATGGCACGTTATTTTAATACGGGTTTCTTTCTGCCAGTATATGAATATTTGGAACTTAATACTTAACTGGGCTGTGGTATGGTGGAAAGCAGAGTCAGAAGACCTCGTTCGAGGCTGTCATTCATTGGGAAGGGTGAGGGGCTGGCTGACGTTTAGAGGCTTACTGCATGCTTAGAACTAGGTGATTCTGTGTGTTTGGTGTTTGCAACCAACTTGGAGGTATTGATGTTATCCCTGTAGTACTTCCTTAGTAAAAAGAAATTCCAGAAGCTCCAGGTTTTATATTCAGGATCTCTTGACCGTGGGGTCTGAATTGTCCTGAGACTCATCTCCTTGGCGGTTTCTTGGTGGTGGGGTACATTTCCCTCATTTTCCTTGCCCATGCCTGGGAGTCCCCACCCTTCCTTTTCATACCTTGTGGCACACCTAGACTTTGTGAGCAGTTCACCATTGGTATATGTTAGTAGACGTGTTTTGTTTTTGTTTGTTTTAAAATGTATTTGCCAGGGGCGCCTGGGTGGCTCCGTTGGTTAAGCCTTTGGCTCAGGTCATGATCTCAGGGTCCTGAGATCCTGCTCAGTGGGGAGCCTATTTATCCTTCTCTCTCTGCCCCTCCCCCCGTTTGTGTGCGCACGCGTGAGCGCGTTCTCTTTTTCTCTCTCTCAAAAAAATAATGTATTTGCCAGGCACACAGCCAGGCTCTGAGATTTTTTTTTTTTTTTTTAGCATTCTTAGTTTATTGATCCTCTCATGAAAAATCTGCACAACCAGATAAAGCCACTGCAGCATCTTTACTCCTTCTGTTGTCCAGTCTCCAGCTCACTTTTTGCCAGCACCAACAACATTGGCTTTTGCAGTCCCCCTGACTTTCTTCATTCTGTTCTTGTGTTCCTTTCGCTGTTTTCTTGATGTCTTTTTCTTCTCATACAGGCCATGTCTTGCAAGTCTGTGTTTGGGTTCGTTTTTCTTTGCATAATCCAAGGAATCATATATCATGCCAAAGCCGGTTGTCTTGCCACCACCAAAATGGGTTCTGAATCCAAACACAAATATGACATCTGGTGTGGTCTTGTACATTTTGGCTAGTTTTTCCCGAATTTCTGTCTTAGGTACTGTTGCCTTTCCGGGGTGAAGAACATCAATGACCATCTGTTTCCGCTGAAGTAGTCGGTTGGTCATGAACTTCCTGGTCCGGATAGTTACTGTGTCGTTCATGATGGCGGCCAAGCCAGGCTCTGAGATTTTAAAATGAATAAGAATGGTTCTTGATACTGAAGAACTTCCAGTGGGGATGAACTGGAGTGAAAAACATGAAAATACGATTTTAATATGTTGTAAATGCTATGATAGTGGGAGGGGATTTATTGTAAAACATTCTTCTAAATGGTACCTTAAATTTCATTACTTTTTTAGTCGACTACCCTGTTTATCCCTATGGGTTCAAAGAACAGTCTGCACACTTTTAGATTTATTTCTTAGATTGTTATTCAGAGGTCATGATCCTTGTATTTGGATAATTCCCATAGGTGAATTACCATAATTTTTCTTTTCTTTTTAAAAGATTTTTATTTGAGAGAGAGAGAGAGAGAGAGTATGAGAAGGGGGAGGGTCAGAGGGAGAAGCAGACTCTCCGCCAAGCAGGAGCCCGATGCGGGACTCGATCCCGGGACTCCAGGATCAGGATCATGACTTGAGCCAAAGGCAGCCGCTTAACCAACTGAGCCACCCAGGCACCCATACCGTAATTTTTCTTATTTCTCTCTATTGTGCATAGTTACCAGATCATCCTGTAGCTTAATACCTTCACTTATATACTTCTTTATTTGGAAGAGCTGTGTGAAATTTCTAAACATGGAAATCTTGCCATACATGCCATCTTACAGAGAGGTTGGTTCCAGAATCAATTTTGAAATGTTGTGTTCTTATCTTGCAACTTGTACAATTAATACTTTTGGTCAGAGAGACTTTTGTTGTGACATACTTCATCAGAGACGTTGTTACTAATGGTAGGAACACCATGGAAGGGACTCCACACTCTTCCACAGGGAGGTTCTAGTATGAAAACACGGAATGCTAACTGATGTAACGCTCTCTCTTCACCAGCGCAGATGTGCACCTTAAATGAACTGTGGTACCCCCGGGTACCGCACGCTGGGGGCAAGTTAGTGCCAGGACCCTGCTCCCAAGTTCCGTCAGGTGCAGGGGCATCACCTGCACAGGACCGAGAATTTGTCAAGGCTGCGGATGGACTAGTTGTGGGTTAGTCTGGGAGCTAATGAAGCAGGATAATCCCTTTTTATCTGATGGCTTTCCCTTCTAGTTCCTAGGCCTTTGAAGTGCTACAGGTCTGAAAATAATTTGTATAGACTTACTTTGCTCATCTCTTAACTAGCAGATATGAAAGCAAACGATTACCACAGTTATTTCTTAAATAAAGCCCATTTTTTCCTGACTTCGGTGTCTTTTTGGCCTACCTCACCATCTTCTGTCATCCTCACTTGTACTTTGCCTCAAAGATGGGGTCATCTTCCTGAGTCCAGTCTTTCTGGGTCTGCCTTTGCTCCCAAAGGCAAGGTCACGCTTGGAACCTTCTCAGTTATCTCTGTGGCCTCATCCAACTAACTTAGCTCAAGTTCTGAAATCTCTTCATTCTTCTCATTCCCTCAGTGCTTGTAATTTGGGGTCTTCAGCTAGTTTGGTGTCCATCTTTGTTATCTTGGCAGAGCCCCATATCCAGCTGTTCCCTGCTCATACCTTGGGGTCCCTTCTGTTCTTTCTTGGCCTTTGGAAATCCAGCTCAACTTTGAAGGTTGAGTTGTCTGTCACCTTTCCTGCCACTCCCTCCCCTGGACTTTTTCCTGTATGTCTCATACTGTATTTTCTTCTCTTCAGCTTGTTGGGTGGGACCTAAGCTCCACGAGGGCAAGTTCTGTGTCATTTATCTTGGTATATTCAGGGCCGGGTTCCTAGTAGTCGGTTATCCTGTGCTTATCTCGCCCCTCTTTCAGCCTGAGTAATCCACGAGGCTGCTTTCTTTGTCATTGGTGGGTGGGTATTCTGACAGAAAGTTACCCACTGACCTCCGGCCTGTTTTCTCTAAATCTTGTCTCCTTAGGTGATTTCTCTGTGCCCGAGGGTTTTATGTGGACAGGTAAATGAAGCCCTGCTTAGTTACTGGCTATTCAAGCCAGAACACCATCCACTCCCATATTTAAGTCATCACCAAGTTTTCTCTTAAGTGACTCTTGAATTCCTTTACTTTCCTCATCACCAGTGTGGTGGGAGGTGGGAGAAGCTACCCTCCTCTCTTGTGCAAAGATTACTGCAGCCCTGCCTAACCCCCTCTGCTGCTCAGCGGCTCTTTCCAGAATGTCAGTCTCCCCCTTCCCTTTTATTTAAAAAATTCCGGCTTTCCTTTGTTCCTGGATAAATGAAAGCAAACATCCCTAATGTGGCACCACCTTTGCACCGTCTGACAGAGAAATGTCCTAATCTTTTGAAGGCACAAGTGTGATTTTCATACTTTGAGAAGCAGATGTTCTAGAAGAGGACACTTGTTTAGACTTAAAATGGGGACTACTCTGTCGGATGACTTAGGCACCTGGGGGACTATAGGCTGTCCCCACATTTAAACATAATTGGTTCCTAGAGCCTGCAACTGAAGATAAGGCTGAAGAATTTACTTGGCACTTGCTGCATTTCTGGTTTGCTAGCCGAGAAGCCCCTCATGTGAGTGAAGGTGTACAAGAGGCAGAAATACAGACTTCTCAGTGTTGACGGCGAGAAGCACGGTTAAAAGTGTGTTCCGGGGGACCGCTTGCATTTGTACATTTGTTGTACGTTGTACTATATATTTTTTACTTTATTGCTGCATGTACATTTTTCTTTTTCACATTTCTCTTTTCAGTTATGTTATTCATTTATGCCTGTACCTGCTGACTTAATGATGAAAAACTTAGAGTAACGTGTCTACATTTTTTTTTTCCTCCAGAAGTGTGGATCTCATAGACTAAAAACTAGCTTGTTGTAGTATGCTTCCTTTCTGTAATGGGATCACATTTCCGTAAGACGGCTGCTTTTTAGGAGTGGAGAGCCTTTGTCAATAAAAATGTCTTTTAAAAGTTGTATTCAATCAAAACTTAGACGGTGAACGAACTGTTTTACGGATGTAACCCTGCAGCCCGAGTGAGCACTCTTCTTGCACGTGTCACCGGCATCATGTACTGTTTCTTTTGTTGATTGTTAGTTTGCTGGGGATGAAAGCACAAGTGATCATATTCAGGCTGGTTAGATTAGTGATTTTAATATGAAACCATTGCTTTTAGAATAATCATGGGCCAGACTGGGAAGAAATCTGAGAAGGGACCGGTTTGTTGGCGCAAGCGTGTAAAATCAGAGTACATGCGACTGCGGCAGCTCAAGCGGTTCAGGCGGGCTGACGAAGTGAAGGTACAGCTTTTATCTTCTGTGGAGCGCACCCATGGTTAAGGTTAAGGATCGTCCCCTCCCTGCCCCCAAGATAAGTTTCAATTTGCAAGATAAGTCCATTTTCAGCCAAGGTCATATTTGTAGTAAGATAAATGAAGGCTGGGAAACCCAGGGCCTTGATCTGTCTTAATTAACCTAAAGATGGTCCCAGGCATGGTAACGAGAATGGAAAGATTGTAATCTAATGGCTAGTCACTCTGCTTTGAAATCACTATCTTTTTAGTGTATCCTTTGTGTTGCACATGCAGATTGGGGACCCAAATATAAAGGGATGTGTTTCAGGGTTTTATGTTTCTAAAGTCATTGTGATTTTGTTTTTATATGATGTTAACAAAGAAAGGATGGAATGATTTTCTGGTCCCCGCCCACTCTTAATAAAATAATCCGTGTGGTGCTTTTGTGTTATTCGAATGTGGGAAACTGCAGTTTAGTGTAAAATCTGTATGTGTTTGAAGGAATGCTCCTGTTATTTTTGAGAAATCACTAGATTTTAACCTGCGTTAGAGATACTATGAATTTTCTAACAATGAACAATTTCTCTTCTCCTCTCCTTCATTTTTTTAAAGAGTATGTTTAGTTCCAATCGTCAGAAAATTTTGGAAAGAACGGAAATCTTAAACCAAGAATGGAAGCAGCGAAGGATACAGCCTGTGCACATCCTGACTTCTGTGAGCTCATTGCGCGGGACCAGGGAGGTTGGTTAACTCACGCACTGTAGTAATTATCAGTGCATTCTGGTTTTTGCTGTTGCAATGTTGGTTGGTTATTGATAGGAAGTCATTTACCTCAGGATGTCCATCTTTTTATTGTTCTTTCTTTTTCATGTGCAACTATGAGTGGCTGCCTTAGGTAACCTACTAGTTACTCCTATACGAGAGCTGTAGTGTTTAGCATATATTTTCACTGTTACCAGGTAGGTGTGTAGATTTTTATAGGATTGTTGATTAAAAAAAACTGTTAAGTTAAATGCTCTTTAACGGCCTCATCAGATCACTGTTTAGAGCAAGGCTTTCTGACTCAGTTTTTTTTTCTGCCCTTTAATATAAATTAGCTATGCTATAAGAAATGTTTCCTTTTCATTCATGTTCATGGACTATGAAAGTTTTTTATTATTTGAACGTTTTGTTCAAATTCTAAGGCTCTCTAAGAATTTTTAAATTCAATGTTGAGAGATCAGAAGTCCTTTTCTATAGCATTTTCTGAAGGAAGGTGATAGATCTTAATCCTATTTTCAAAAGAAGGCAATAAATGTATGGCAGGTTTTATAATTAAAAGACACATAAAACACAGTGGCAGTAAAATGAAAAGAAAATGGCAGAAGCCTGGGGCACCTGGATGGCTCAGTTGGTTAAGTGTCTGACTCTTGATCTCAGCTCAGGTCTTGATTTCAGGGTTGTGAGTTCAAGCCCCCCCCCCCCCCCCCCCCCCAGTGTGGAGCCTGTTAAAAAAAAAAGAAAGAAAATGGCAGAATCTGAAAAACGTATCGAACTGATCAGTAGGGTTTTGGGTAAAGCACTGCAGTGTAAGTCCCTGTCTATACAGGAAAACACGACGTAGGAGGTGGGATGCTGGTGGAAAGGGCACCCAAACAAGAAGAAGGAAGGAAGTGATTCGGAGTGTACATCATACCACACAGTGGATGGTTGTTTCTCTGAGTGTCTAAACACAGGAAGCATCTAGACAGTGGGATCTATTCTAAAATACGTTTTCAGTGAGGGTGTGATACTTCACAAAAAATTGTAATAAGCAGTAATTGGCTAGCACATGAGACACGCTGGCCTCGGACTTGTCAGTCCTGTCACAGTAGCTTGGTCCTGTGATGACTGTGATCATGCTCTGGTGGTCTTGGTGGTGACACATGACTTGGAATGATTCTTAGTCATTTATTCATTTTGTCAGGTGACAGCTCTTTAAAGCTTGGGCTTGCAGTTGTGTAAATATGTATTCTATGCTGCTGACACCTTCTGCACCGTCTGGGACAGGTCAGGCCTACCTGGTAGAGGTAAATAACTTTATTAATACACCAAGGGTGAAGGATTCGTTTCTACGCAAGTCAGAATGTTCTCAAAAGGGAGAAGGATGGGGCTTCTAAGTAATTCTTTGGAAAGTTTTGTCCGGTGACCTTTTGGAAATTTTGAGGGTAAAGGAAAAAGAAACCTTGTTTGTTCTCCCCGGAAGGATAGATCTTAGGGATGTGGAGAAGTAAGTAGGAATGGAATACTTACTTTTTGCCCCCCATTTCGACTCTCAAAATGCTACTGAAAGCCCATCTTATAAGTAAAAGTTCACAGCAATAATGATTTCTGGCAATGTGCTGGGTACTCTGCACACATGAACCTCCTTTAATCTTTGTGATAGTTGTATTAGGCCTTTTTCTCCCCCTGGATGAGGACACTGGGCCTTGGAAGACTAGTCAGTTTGCTTGCTCCAGTGATCTGATGTGGGCCCAGAAGAGCACACTTTGCTCAGACTCATTAGGGAATGAGTACAGTTCATTGTTTATGTACATAAACTTGAGTTGTTCATAATATAATTTTAAGGACAGTTCATTCAAATGAGTACTACTTGAATTTTGCTTTTAGTTTTGTCAAATGGAGATAAATGTAAAGATATCTAACTTTTTAATGTGACTTTATGTGAGAAAAAGTAAGAAGAAATGTAATAAAACAGAATTGTTTTCTAAACTTAGTACCCCATGCAGATTGAGAAAAATCATTTTCACAAAATAGGAGGAAAGGACGGCAATCAACCCCTGCCTTAGGAACTCAGTTTTTGTTGCATGGAACTCTGACCTGGTCAAGGCTGTTAGTTTTTGAGCTACTCTTGATAGCTGATTCTGCTTCAAATGATTCATCTTTTACTTCCCCTACCCCCAACCCCCTTTAAAACCATTATCACTGACTTTTGGAAGCTGAACGTTTATGCAGTTTGTGATAAGCTTTTTGGTGTTCTCACAATAAAAATAATAAAATTTTAGGACTGAAAAGGACTTTAATGATCTCTGTCTAATCTCCTTATTTTGTAGATGAGACTGTATCCCGTTTTATTTTTCTTCAGTTTGAGCATTCCCAGCTGTATGTCAATTTCTTTTATATGCTTTAAAAGTTGGAGTCTGAAGTAGGTCAGAAGCAGGAGGATAAATAAAAGTTAGTGTGTTTTTGCAAAGACTTTCCTAGTAGTAGGCTTGGCAGAAGTTCAGACTGCAGTGTTGGTCCAAACACCTAAAGTCTGTGGCTTTCAACATTGGGAAGTGCTGTTATAACATTGTTTTAATTAACTGCTTATTTTTATAAGCCGATCCTTTGTAAGTGCTGTCTTCAGTTTAAATCCTTTGCGGCATGAGGACCGTTCAACGACAATTTTCAGTTTTTCACTCAAGTCTTCTACTTTAATCCCTTCTGTGCGTGTAAAGTAGATGTGCTCAGTTTTAAAATGACTGGTTTTTATCTAGGTTATTTTAGTGAAGAACATCTGACAAAGTTCACACTCCCTGATCTAACGAAGTGGCCGCTGTAGACGCTGACTTCAGATCAAGGAGCCCTGCACTTGAACTTAGAGACCCCGTCTTCAGTATAGTGTTTTCTTAATATGTATTTCTAAGATACTTGTGGGTACTTATTTTTTGGTGTTGAGGTTACAGAACCTAATCAGTGTTGCTCATACAATTTTTATACAGAAGGTGTCAATATTTTTCTTTTTAAAAATACTCCTGAATTCTTGAAGACAGTGGTGGTATGTTTTACATTTATTTCCTTTGCTCTTTAGTTAATCTCTTTAAGGAGGAGTCACCTTAAAAATGTCACTAAATGATGAGCACAGACCAAGGGATGCATACCTTATTGATAGAGTATGTGGCTGTTTTTAAAAACCATTGCTTCAAAACAAAACAAAACAAAACCCCAAAAACCCGTTGCTTCTAGTTGACTTTTGTTACTTTGTCTTACCAGTAAAAAACTTGATCTTCTCTAAGTCTTCGCATCGGTAGTCCTGTTCTTCAGTGTGTCTGTTTTTCTAGTTTTAATGAAGAAACTGGTTTAGGAGTTAACTCTTGTAGTTCTTATGAGTGCATTTCTTTTTGTCCATTTGTCCATTTCTTGCTAAAAACCAAATGGCGCTTATTTTCATTGATCTTCATACCAAGATTTTTTTTTTTTTTAAAGATTTTATTTATTTATTTGAGAGAGAGAGAATGAGAGAGAGCAAGCACATGAGAGGGGGGAGGGTCAGAGGGAGAAGCAGACTCCCTGCCGAGCAGGTAGCCCGATGCGGGACTCGATCCAGGGACTCCTGGATCATGACCTGAGCCGAAGGCAGTCGCTTAACCAACTGAGCCACCCAGGCGCCCCCATACCAAGATTTTTATTACCTGTGTGTATTATGACTGAAAGAGAGGCTTGCTCAAATTATGTCTGTCTTCTGGGCAAGTGGTATGATTGGTTTAGTAATTTAAAAATATCCTGCCAGTATGCATTTGTAGATTCCCAGGAGAATTTATGTTCTTGTAGGAATTTTGTGTCTTGTTTACTAATGAAAATAGAATTTTTAGTGTATATTTACATGTGGGGCTTCTTCAGGATGCCTAACACAGCAGGATCATTAGAAAGACATCATAGTCCTCGCATTTATGAAGAAGTAAAACATTTTTAATACATACAGGTTTGATCCTCTTATTAATACTTGAAATGACTATAAGTTCATGATCTATCGTTTGATATTTGCACATTTTTTGTGGGGGTGGTGGAGAGTCTTCTATCAAAATAACAATGTAAGTTATATGTTTGCAGTTTGGACTTACTATTTTTATTGAAGGAGAAGGCTAACATTGTCTCATTTACATGTAAACACTTGATTGCATTATTTATTGACTGGTAATGCACTTTCCTCAGTTAATTGTAAATAGAAATTTTTGTTACTATTTACAAAGAAAAAATGATACACTAGTGTACCCAGTATATAATTTAGTGCTCTTAAGTACACTCTCAACTTTCAACATAGTAACATGCTTTCTTTCCTTTGTAAATTTCAGGATTGTAGAACCAGTAGGTCTAGGTTCTCATGAGCCATTTGAGCAAATACGGCAGGGAGCAAGGTCATTTTTCTCATGTCTTAGAAAGAGATGGATGGTTCTTAGTCTGAACACAGCCATCCTTTCTTGGTGCCTCAAGGAACTAGTTTCCAAGTTGCTTACTGTAGCTCTTTGCCTTTCATTGGTATTTATTTGGAGAGTTGAGTCCTGTGGTAACTCTGCCAGTCCTTCCCACCCATACAACTTTTCAGATCACTGTAGCCTTAGCTTCCTCTCTGGCTTTCCTTAGGCTGAAATAGATGGAACGATTCTTACATGACCATAAAGGAGGATTTCCTTTTTTTTTTTGAAAGGAACTAATGTAAATGATTTATGCTATTCCAAGAGGTCATTTAAAAAAAAGAAAGGTCACTTATGATGTTTGCATTTATATATCACTATCATATTAAATATATATCATATACTTAATGTCTGAGTTTAACTTAAGGTTCTGTATCTGACATTCGGAAAGTGAATTTTTCACGTTCTGTATCTGATATTCGGAAAGTGAATTTTTCACAGATGTCAGGTGTTTATTTTGTGCACCTAATAAACCAGCAGAAGTTGCTTTCAATTTGCTGTTTTTCTTCTAGAACATTGTGTATATAGTTGGTGTTTTATATACACACATAGTCAGCTGTTTAACTGACTACAAAGATCAAGATCATTGATCAAGATCAAAGATCACTGATCTACAAAGATCAGTTCTTTTCCCAAAATGCAAAACCAAATTTTGACAGCTACTTCTTTTTTTTTTTTTAAAGATTTTATTTATTTATTTGAGAGAGAGAATGAGATAGAGAGCACGAGGGGGGGAGGGTCAGAGAGAGAGGCAGACTCCCTGCTGAGCAGGGAGCCCGACGCGGGACTCGATCCCGGGACTCCAGGATCATGACCTGAGCCGAAGGCAGTCGCTTAACCAACTGAGCCACCCGGGCGCCCTTGACAGCTACTTCTAAGAACAGATTGAAGCAGAAGAAATGCTTGTCTAGCCTGCTTTGTTAAATTGTTTATTGCTCTGAAGAAATAAAATTTTACTAGACCTAGAACTTCTGGGATAACATGGATTGACTTAAATCTACTGCTTAGGATTCTGCTTTATCTTAATAGATTTCATAAAAGAATATTATTGGAGTACCATTTTGGGAGGGTTGGACAGATTTCATGAGTTACCTTGTATTGATTGAGGCAGTTTTATACCAGGTCATGTGAATATCTGTCGGGTTAATGAAACTTCAGTCGTTCTCTCTGACGAAAGGCCACTGCAGAATGACTCTTGAGAATTCAGATTACACTGAAATACATGAAACAGAAGGCAGAAGTTCCTGTAGTCCAACCTCTGTGATTTTTAATCTTTCTCATCTCTTTTTCTACATATAACATATTAGTAATAATAAAATATATTGTATTTGAAAAGGTTACTGCCCAGATAAAATGTGCCTGCCAATTTGGGCCATCACTTAAAAAAAAATTTTTTTTTAAAGATTTTATTTATTTATTTGAGAGAGAGAGCACATTCGAGAGGGGGGAGGGTCACGGGGAGAAGCAGACGTCCCTGCTGAGCAGGGAGCCGGATGCAGAACTCGATTCCGGGACTCCAGGATCATGACCTGAGCCGAAGGCAGTCGCTCAACCAACTGAGCCATCCAGGCGCCCCCCCCAATTTTTTTTTTTTTTTTTGAGTATAGTTTACACACCCTGTTACATTAGTTTCAGGTGTAGGACATAGTGATTCAACTTCTCTGCACCTCATGCTGTGCTCACCACCAGTGTGGCCACCATCTGTCACCGTACACTGTACCCGTACAATTGGTAATGTTCCCTAGGCTGTGCCTTTTATTTTTTTTTTAATTAGTTTATTTATTAGAGAGCACGTTGGGAGCAAGAGAGCGTGTGGGGGAGGGGCAGAGAGAATCTCAAGAATATTCCCTGTTGAGTGCAGAGGTCAAAGGGGCTTGAGCCCTCGACCCTGAGATCATGACCTTAAGATCATGACCTGAGCCGAAACCAAGAGTCGGCTGCTCAACCAACTGAGCCACCCAGGTGCCCCTGCTGTGCCTTCTATTCCTGTGACTTAGTCATTCCCTAACTGGAAACTGTCTCACTGTCCTCCCCCATTGTGCCCATCTCCCCACCCTCTGCATTTTGGGCCATCACTCTACAACGTCTTTCCAGGTCCTCGGTCTCTAAGAATGCAGTGTTTGATACTGTGAATATATTACTGCCCTGTTCTTAATAGATGAACATTTAGGTTTTTATTTTTTTACTTTTGCAGTTAGTATTTTGGTCAGTACCCTTCATCTACATCTTTGTATCTTTGAGTAATTTTGTAGGAGGAGTTCCTAGAAATAAAATAACTTGGTCAAGAGGATATGCATATTTAAATTTCTATGGCTGTCACCACGGTGTTCCCTGAAAAGATTTTCCATCTATACCCCACCACCTGTTTATAGTAGTGTCTGTCTGTCTCTGTTCCCAACGCATAATACCAGTCTTCTGGATCTTTGTCAGTGTGATAGGTAAAAAGTTACTAGTTTGTTTGCTTTTTATTACTTATTCAATGAGGTTAAGTTTCTGTTGTTTGTTTATATTTCATAATTGGCTGTTAGGGTGTTGGATCTGTTAAGTTGGACTGTTTCTTAGGGTTTTTAAGGACTTTTGTATATTTATTAAATACTCCTTTTTAAATCATGTTTTACAGATTTCCCCCGCCTCCCCCCCCCCCCACATTTTGATGTTATTTCTGGTATATTTTGATTTATAGAAGTTTTAAATGTTTATATAGTCAAATTAGAATTTCTTTTGATTTCTGTGTTTCTAAAGGCTTAGAATGTAAAGATTATATAAATTACCTCTCTATCTTTCCGTTTAGTTGTTTTCACTTACCAGGAATTTCCTTTGGTATAAACAATGGGGATTTGGTTTTTAGTATTTTTCTATTTAGCTTTCTATTGTTGCAACACTACTTAGTAAATAGTCAGTGAACAATCAAAAAGCAGTTATAAATCTTTATTGCAAAAATCAGCAGGCTTGGCTGACCTGATTGGTGGTCCCCGATCTACCCTCTGAGCAGATCTAACCCCTGAGCCCGGACTTCGTGCTTCTCCTCAGCGGCCATGGCCTGGTGCCAGTGTTGGCCCTCTCCACAGTAATTTGCTGCTGCCCCGTAGCTTTCAGCCCCACATCCACTCCTGGAAGCTTCAGAACGAGCGTGATGCCGTGATTTATGGAAACCAGGGGCTTCAGTAGTACTCGGTCTGCCATTTCTTAGTGTGTGTGTTTTTTTTTTTTTTTAAGGGACAGAAATGATCTTATTTCCCACTCATAGGACTGTTCTTGAATTCGGTATTTGAGTTTGCACAGCTCTGGTTAGCTGCTTCATGTGCCTTTTGGGTGTTCTGTAGTTTTACCAAAACGTACGTATTGGCTATTGTTCAGTTTCTGGTTTCCAGTTACTTCAGCAAAACTGGAGTTTGTAGCAAAACTGCAGATTATGGGGAGTGATTTAATACAGCCCCTTCTGACCCCAGACTGCGTTGGGTTTTCCCCGTGCATTGGGTTTTAATAGGATTAACTAGGTTGATATATTTATGGTTGCTTTCATTCGGGATTAGGCTTTTCAAATTAGGATTCAGGGAAGAGTTTTAAGGGTCTAAACTTCCTGAAATTGCATTGCAAATGTTCTGTGTTCTATGTTAAATGCGTGTGTGTGTGCGCGCGCGCGCGCTTGCGCTTTTCTTCTGAAAAGAAGTATAAGAACTGACACTTAGAGGATGCTATCTTTCTGTAATGCTTAAGTGAACTCAGAAGCAAGAGCCCTATGTTGCAGGTAGAAAGGTTCTTCCGCCAATCCGGGATGGCTCTGTAACATATTTGACAACAAAAGTGGACATAATTTACAATCTGGTTATGAGCCACTCTTTGATTCCTTAGCCCCAGCACCCTTGATTAGCTGCTTGTATGAATATGTCTGTGTCAAGATTTGATGAGGAATTTTTCTTCCTGGTGCTTAATACTGACCCTCTGCCACTGGAACCTCTCGTGTCTTGTACTCCCCCCTTCTCCTGATCAGCCTCTGAGACCTGGTTAGGGACTCATTCTGTCTAGCTTCTTTTGATCCAAAGTTGGTATTTACTCATTCCAGTTTTTTTCTTTAGGACTTCTTTGCATAAAAGCAGTCTGAAATTAAATTATACACACTATCATTTTCACCAGAAGGGCTAGCTTAAGATTTGGGTGTGTTATCTTTTCTGTGCTGTGATTTTGAAGAATAGAGGCAGTTTCAGAAATGATCCTCTGCTTTTCTCTAGAGTTCGGGTGGCAGTTGATGCCTTACCCCCTTAGATGTCAGATGGTTCCTTACTGTTTTTACTTGGAAAGGCTGAAGGATATTAGACAATATCAACAGTTCGTTGTGTCTCTGGCATGAATTAAATGGATCAACTAGTATCCAAGAATATTTTTAACTTGGCTAACTGACTGTATTTTTTTCCCCCCACTATACGGAAGTTGGACTTCACGCTTCTGATGTTAAAGATTGTTCAGAGACCAGATAGCCATGGCTATTTTCCTTTGGGATGTCCCACTGTAAAATGGGGAGTCATATCGACCTCATAGGGTAGTGGTGGATTTTAAAGAAGTTAACTTTGGTAAAATCTCTAGCACAGTGCTTGGCACATAGTAGGGTGTCTTAATTTCTTTCCCTTCCCTGCAGGCCATTCACCTGCTCTTCCCTCTACGATTTTCCATAACACAGTTTTTACTTGGAACCAGCCTTCTGCCAAGAGTCTCAGTTTGGTTGTGTACTCCTACAACTACTATTTTTGGCTTGACTTCCCTCTCCAGCTCCCAGTGGTCCAGCCACACAGTCGCCTATTGTACCAGCTGGTTGATGTAAGTCTATCCATCCTCAGAGGAACCCGGTCACTTACCAGTAAGCTGTGTTTCTCTGAAAATGTAGCATCCTTGATAACTAATAGAGTTTTTTTTTTTTTTTCCTTCTTTACCATTGATGATGAATCACCTATAATAACTTCCTTGTGTGATCCTCAAGTAGGAACGAGAATTGGAGAATTCTGTTTGTTGATGTAGGTCTCCTAGTGAGTTCCTGAGTCCAGGACACTTGACCGATCAGGTAAAATGCTTTGGAGACCCATGAGGTCAAAACCCTTTTCAGTATTCTGAATGATATGAGACTTAATTACATAAACTGTCAAGGATGATACATTTTCAAAGAAAAAAAAGTTACTGGTAAGTAACTGGAATTTTTTGAGTAATTTTCCTGTTAAGTCAATAAATAAGAATTCCCAAACTTGTTTTACCAACAAATGCTTTTGCATTTGAATATTATTTCATAAATGAAAGGAATATGGTTATTAGTTAAGGTTAATAGTTAAGGAATGGGTTAGGTTTCTAGAGATACTATATAGATAATGAGGTGGGTATAGGCCTGCGATTTTCTAAGTAGGTGCTCTCTTAGCTTAAAGAGAAATTGGAGTGAAATCTCCATTAGGCAAAATCAGCAAATGCAGTCTGTTCATTCCAGAAACATTTTTTGAGTGCCTACTCTTTTTTGAGACACTGTGCTGAGTATAATTGTGAGACAGAGAAGTAAAACCACACTGTCTCAGCTGCTTTTGCCCTCAGAGAGCTGATTTCTGGCCCCTTGGTGACTCTCATAGGCTCAGGGTTGAGATGATGGGATCTGACGGAGGTGCAGGGTTGGAGGTGGTCTAGTGCTGCAGCCTTTGCTATCTTATTTTTGTGCTTCTCTAAGTTCTTTCTGTTGAGGGGAAAAATCAGCGGACCTCATTCAGTAGATTCAGAGCATTTTCTACATCCTTAGAGCAAACAGATGAAGTAAAGTCCCTCCTGTTTGGTAGTTGAATGGAATATTAAGCTGTCTAGCCTTAAGTATGACCTTGGGTTCAGATGTTAAGTAAAGCAGGTGGGTAAGTTAGAGTTGGAGAGGCAACATGCTGCCCTCACCCCCACAAGCTCTAAAGGAGGCTAATCTTCAGAATTAAAGCCACAGTATTAATTTACTTCCCTCCAACTGTAAAACAAAACCCCAAAACTCTAATTTTTTTGGTAAGAAATTACAATTACTTTGAACTTAAAATTCCCGGACAGTGTGTAATACTTGATTCAGTAATTAGGAGCACTCCTGGCCCCACAGTTAGGCAGTTAGGTAGGGATGAGCAGAGGTGACTTGGTAGTAAGAGGACTAAGAGGAGGGCCTGGGGGAGAGGGCGTCTCCGGCAGGCGGCAGCCCGGGCACAGTTGTGCTTGGTCTCTGACCCTGCGAGCATCTCGAGGGCAGGAGGGCAGCACAGAGAGGAGGCGCGTGGGTGTTGGGAGTCAGACTTAGGCTTCCATCCTGGCTTGGTAACTTTCTACCTTTCTGACTAGGCAAGTTATTTAACTTCCGTGAGCCTCAGTCTCCTCCTCATTTGTGAGGTTGTGACGCTGGAGGCTGAGAGGAGCAGTGGCTAAGATGACGTATCCAAAGCACTTAGCACAGTGCCTGCAACATAGTACGTGCTCAATAAATGTTAACTGCTATTATGATTGGGTTATTGGACGGATGGATGAAGAACTGTATCAGAGACCAGAGCGCCGAATAGGGAGGGATGGTGGCTCTGGAGTATTAGTGAACTGTTCATACCTTCTCGTTTACTTGAGCTATGAGCTTTCTAGTAGTAGTATCTTTATCTTGACCCTTTTGGAAAGCAAATTAATGGATTAATCACTGTCACAGTTCTTTCTAACAACTCTTACCTTTAAACCTTCACTTCCACTAGGAAGGAACTATTTTGTGCTGCAGTGACTGTGACCATTGCAAGATTATCCCCCTGGCCTGATGAGACACTGAGGGCCAGGTGTGGCCTGTAAGCCAGAGATTCTCACTGTAATTTCACCAAATCTAGTCCTGCTATTTTTGAGACCTCTCAAATAAAAATTAAACATTTAATAAATATGCGTGTGTATATATATGATTTTTTGTTTCATTTTACTCCTTCAATTCTTCTTTTTGCTCTATTTTCACTGATTGTAGATTAGGAATATATGTCCAAGGGTATTTTTGAGAAGGTTCTTGGAAGCCTGATAATTAGGTAATGGTCCTCTTTAAGAAAAGCTGGATTCCTAGATAGGATAGAAAGTGCTGTGGTCATTTGGGCACACATTTTTACCGTATTTCATAGAATCAAAGATGCAAAATTTTGAACATTTTAACATCTGAAGCTGGAATGCATCTTTAGAATTGCTGTGATAAGAACACATTATGTTACAGTTTAACTGGCAACATTATTTTCTCACTGATACAGAAAGTAATGGAATGCCTTGAAATTGAGGTCATCACGGGTTGGATGAAATACGGTATTTCAAGAGAGTAGATGCACTTAAACATTCTAGAGATACGGTATCGTGGCCGTTTGTGTAGTGGGCAAGAGCAGAGGCTCCAGAGTCAGACTTTCTTTCTGGGTTTAAATTCTAGCCCTGTCTAATGTATGACTTTGGGCCAGTTACTTACCTTTTTTTCACCTGAGTTTTTCTCACCTGTAAAATGGGGGCTAAGAATTAGTCCTCATCTTACAAGTGTTGTCATGGGGACAAAATATGGTAAGACATGTAATGTGTTTAAAATAGTGCCTCGCACATACAAAGTGCTTAATAATATTAGCTATTATTATTAATTTAGAGATTATACTTTTGCAGAGTGGATAAGAACTTCTTTTGTTGTGATTGAAACTCAGATCTGTTATTACCCTTCATCTTTGTTTATCATCTGGTAATATCAGCAAATGATGCTTGGGTTTTTTAAAAGGAAAGATAAAGATAAGAAAGGTGAACCTAACAGTTTCCATATTCTTACTAAGCGAGATTTAAGAGGCATATTTGGTATATATAATATTATTCCATGTGGTTGAGATGTAAAAAAATTAAGCATCGAGCTAGGAAATTTATAGTGAGTTAACCCGAGACTAGCAAATGCTGTTTTTGATTCTGATTGATACTGGTAAGTATGGGAAGGGTTCTTGGAAGCTTTTGAAAATTTGCAAAATCTGAAGCATTTTTTTCACCCTAAGTAAAAGAAAGTAAGAAGGAGAGAATCCCTCATGGTTTTTAGGTACCTTGTTGTGTCATTAGGTTAAGGAATTTCCTTTTCAAAATTATTTAAGTGGGCAATGTCCCTTTATAATATGTTGACAGCTTAAGGTTGTCCTTTAATTCTTATGAGTCAATTTTATTTTTTCTGTTCTAGTGTTCAGTGACCAGTGACTTGGATTTTCCAACACAAGTCATCCCATTAAAGACTCTGAATGCTGTTGCTTCAGTACCCATAATGTATTCTTGGTCTCCCCTACAGCAGAATTTTATGGTATGTAACTCATGTGTCATCTGCTCACTTGATAATCACTTATTTTAAATAAAACACAATTTTCTTGTCAAGGTGAATCAAGAATAATATAAGTAAAAAACGTTACCGAAATGATAACACTCAGTGATTTTTTTTTTTTTAACCGATATATATATTTTCATAAGCCTTTGTGGTGTTGCTCTTTTTCTATTCTTTCCTAGTTAAAGTATTCTCTAAAGGAAAAGTGTTAAGCAGAAATCCTACCTGGGATTAAAAATATGTTTAAAAGATGAAGCTTATAGTTCTTATGCTTGAAAAGGTCGGTCAGTATTCTGTAATTTCAGTTGATTTAGAGGTTTTGTTAATTGAGAACTTTTTACTGAAACGGTTTTAGGCAGCATGTTATTAAATGATAATGTACATTATGAAATATTCGAAGGGCTTATAAAACACAAACTTCATCATATTTCCACAGATAACACTGGCCCAATAGCTTTTGTAATGAAATGCTGGTATTTAATTCTTTATAGAGGTAGGATGAAGGAAGATAAAACGAGAGAAATTTGAGTGTGCATTCTTGGCCTGTGTTAAGTAAAAAATACACAGTTTTATTATTGATATGTAAAATAAGTAAAAATGTTGATAGAAGTCCTTGGTGAGCGTACTTTAGAGAATTGCTTACTAGATTTTTTTTTTTTTTTTTTTAAGTAGGCTCCATGCCCAGCATGGGGCTTGAACTCAACCCTGAGATCAGTAGTCATGTGCTCGACCAACTGAGCCAGCCTAGGTTTTTTTTTTTTTTTAAGATTTTATTTACTTATTTGACAGAGAGAGAGATAGCGAGAGCAGGAACACAAGCAGGGGGAGTGGGAGGGAGCCCGATGAGGGACTCGATCCCAGGACCCTGGAATCATGACCTGAGCCGAAGGCAGACGCTTAACGACTGAGCCACCCAGGTGCCCCCTAGATTTTTTTTTTTAAAGATGTTTCTTTTTTAAAAGATTTTATTTATTTGAGAGAGAGAGAGAGAGAGAGAGAGAGACCACGAGTGGGGAGGTTCAGGCGGAGAGGGAGAAGCTGACTCCCCGCTGAGCAGGGAGCCCAACACAGGATTCGATCCCAAGACCCTGAGATCATGACCTGAGCCGAAGACAGACGTTTTACCTACTGAGCCACCCAGGCGCCCCTTAAAAGATGTTTCTAATGTCTTTAGTAACTTAAAGATTTTACAGTGGGAGATTAAAGATAAACTTCAGATGCTCTTCTGTAATTGCCTCGTGTATTTAAGACTTCGTGCAAAAACATTTAGTTTAAGAATTATATTGCAAGAGCTTATGGGAGATTTCATTATTTTTGTAGACTAAAATTCTGAAAGGATAATAGTGTTTAAAGTTGTCAGTATTATTTAGAATTACCCATGGGTTTTGCTGGTCACTATCTTTATTATGGTTAGGATATGTTTTGGGGAGCAAAGCTTACATGATATAGTTAGGAAGACAGAATAGCCAATTGTGACTTAATTTTGGCTTTTATCCAAAAAAATTAACACTCCTAGTTTAAATGGTATTAGTGAAAGTGAGATGTGGTGCAAACTGGACTCTTTAGTTGTATGTAAGTTTGGTTCTGGATAGATCAGTGCATTAAAATTTTAATTTTATATCCCTTATGTACTTTCTCTCCCAGTTTCCCTTTTCCCTGTTTGTCTAAGATTTTGTTGTCTTTCTGAACTTTGCAGTTGTCCTAAATTTGTTATCTGGGGATTAGTTGAGATTTTCTCCTTGTCTTCGTTTTTCCCGCCTGCTCTTATGTGATGGTCCCCTGTGTGTCTCGTGGCCTTTT